GCCATAAGTTTCATGATTTTTTTAAGGAGTTTATTTTTAACTTTTTTATGGTTGGAATATTGTCACATTTTTTGTGTTTTAATGTGACAAAACAATTAGGTTAATATTTCTATTTAGATATTTATACTTTTACTTGAAAAAAACTTAATAAATATTATAAAGATAATTTTATTTGTGGATTTGATTAACAAGTAGTAGCATTAACACCATGTAATATTGTTTTGTCGATATTTATGATAATATTTTTAAATTATAATTTGTAATTTAATTTAATAATTATAAAAAAATATATAACTTTTAAAAAAGTGGGCTTGCCCCGCAAGCCTGTAGCCCACGTACTTATGGGTTGGGCCGACCGTTTTCTGGCCCACACCAAAAATGGGCTAGCCTGGCCTGGCCCGTAAAATGTCAAAGCCTGTATGGGTTAGCCCGGATGGGGTGGGCTAGCCCATATTGACAGCTCTAGTTTCAATTGAGTATTTAAACTTTTGATGAAGTGTCATTTTCTAGATTTTATACATTAGCTTTAATTGGAACATGTCTGAGATTCAACGGTTGAAATTGACGCATATAACTGAAGAAAATGACATATTTTAAATAATTATCTTATCTACGTAATGATTATTTGGAAACAGAAGCTTTTTCTTTAAAATTTGAACTAAAAATGTTTGATTAAAACACTTTATTTGTGTTATTTGTTCGACGCATTCAAGATAAAATATTTTCCTCTGCCATCCTGATTTTGTGGACTTTAAATTAGTCAAATGTAGGCACACCGTAAGGAGAGCGTTTCGAAAACTATAGGCGTAGGCAGCGTTTTTCTACCAAAATCAGCGCCTTTACTCAGAATCCTAATTTATGTAAATATGTTTGATTGCGCACAGAGTTTAAAATACTACAAAGATTTTTAAAATTTATAGTTCAATATAACTCATATATATTTATGTGATTATAAATCATCTCATTAAAAATAAAATAAGAAGTTTAAAGTTAAATTATTACTAGATATAAAATAATGTCAAATTTTTTAGACGGACTAAAAAAAGTGTCACATAAATTTAGACGGAAAGAATAATATTAGTTTACTACTACATGTTACGTGTGTCTATTGACTTGTGCTTTCCTGTTCCTTGCCATTCGAAGCTTGTGCAAAACAATCTGTTAGACTACTAAAGCGAGTGTCCCACGCGTGTTGTCACACTGCTTTCTATTCCAAGTTGAAAAAACCAAAAGGTTAAAAAGACTATGCAAGAGTAACAAGTACATATTCTTTTGCGCACCTCGACTAATTCCACGGGTTACCTGCCACCTCACACGAATAACATATATCAGGTAACTCTGTCCAACAAGGCTAGGACAAATGGGACATGTAGTAATTGTTTTCTTGAACCTTACTCTGTTATATTAAAATTTTATTCGACTAATTTGCAAAAACAACCTTCCTCTGATATTGAGTCTTCGAGAGCCACACTGCATTGTCTATATTTGCTTAAAGCCATATTGACTTGAATTAAATTTTCACAGTGCCACAATAAATAGTTGATGCCATAACGAAGTAGAGTTTATTTGACAAGCCTTTTCATCTTTCACTTTATGATACACAACCTAATCATAGCACCTATTTCTTTTTGATATATTAACATTATGGAAGATCAATCAGAATTTATGAAGAATCGTGAAAAGTTCCAACTCATTTACTTTGAGTGTTGATAACACCAAACACAACAACCAAACAATTGTTCTTGCAAAATGTTGTTTTTTTCATGGAAATATGCAAATAGCAATAGGAAAACAAGTTCTCGAGGAAGATGTGGTGTGAATATGACCCTTAATTATGTTAAAGTGTTTTTCTATATTTGTCAATATAGACAAAATTGAACTGCCCCTGTGAAAAGAATGTAAAGAGCAGAACTCTTACCAGTAACTTCTTACACAATTGAGCTCGTCAAAACTTTTGCAGCATTCATCCCTGTCGTGTCCTTAGTTCGTTTTGTAAGAGGGGGCAAACTAGACTTTCAAAGTAAATTTCTGCTTCAACACCAAAATTACCATCACCAACATCCACATACTTTGGATATCTTGTCGAGTCATCTTTTGGATTGTATATCATGAAAACTGATCCAAATATAACCAAAATTTCACCTGTATTTGACAAGCAAAAGGATGGAGAAAACAGATAACCCAAACGGTGTTCATATGGAGGATACTTGATGGTAAACATCAAGATTTTTTAATACCATACTCTTTCATAACCCACACATCTACGTGAGTTCTCGGATCAGTGCAAACCATAGAAAGATTACTTCCATATACTCCAAGCGAGAAAACACCATTTCCTTCTCCATAGCAAGGCAGGTCCACCACTCCCCATTCCTCACAAGACAAATCAATAGAACTGATGCTCCATCCCTCATCTCATGCAAATGACCATCACAAGTAGCCCAATGAAGCTTTCCATTCACAAACTTACCCACCTCCGTGAAAAGTAACTCATTCTTAAGACAATGGATGCTTCTCCAAGAATCACTCTTTAGACTATATACTTCGAACTCGTTATAATGCTTATTGTGATGTTGACAAGTAGAACGCACACGCACTACCTTATAATCATCATGTATCTCATCGTACCCAAAACCATACGTAACCATGCTAGAAGCAAAACCTTTTTTCAGTAGGCAACTTCTTGTACTTTCTAATTGATGGATTTCATAGAAACAACCCAGAAACACAAATCAATCCATTGACAGAACCAACCGTCCAAAAACGCCCACAGTGATTTTCGACAGGATAATTCATGTCAGATGAATCCACAACAGATTCATCAAGCAAAGACCTAAGTGAATAGTTCTTAAGACCGCATTCAGATGGACTAACCCTCAACATAACTCTATGGTTAATGTAGTCCTTGTTATTAGCTGCTAAACTGAGATGGGTCTTGATAAATTCAGGGCTACAGATCAAAGAAAGCCAAGATTTCGAAACACACCTGCATTGCAAGAGGAACTTCACCGGAAGCCTCGAGAGGATATCAGTGATGAGTTCTGGTGGCAGAATAGATGAATCTTGTACTGAAGTTGATGGAAGTTGAGAATGCTTAATGGATTTGCTTCGTTTGTGGTGTTGATGTAAGGCTTCATCTTCCCCGAATTCCATTTGGGATTTACAGAGAAATTGAAAGTGGCAAATCTAGACGGTGAAATACACCCTACGGGAATGGGTTATCGGGTTTCTCATTTGTAAACCCGCTGGCCGCAATCTTTAATTTATATGAAAACCAGGTAATTTGCGAAGCGCGGTCATAAATAATAATTGCATTGAACTTACAAATAATCATTTATTAATATTCATACATTTAAAATGACGGAAAAAATATGTTCTTAAAAAAATATTAGCAATATTTTAACATGAATTTGATTATTTGTCATTATCACATAACTCAAGAACTTTTAATGAATGAATTATTCAGGAAATAATAAATCATTGGTTCTTTAATCAACATTAAAAGGAAAAGAAGAAAATAAGAATATATATAAAAAGGCATTTCGTAAGAAAAAGAACACATTTAAGTTATATAGATTATTCAATTGTGATATATGTCTCAGGGAAAAATTCAAAAATTTGTTAATAGATTCAAAAAAGAAATTACGCTTAAACATGAAAGCAATTATAATCTTTGAACTTGCATAATGAATTTCTTCAATTGATAAGTGAGAGACTTCATATCTATGTTAAAATAGATAATATGTAAGCTTATATATTATAGTACTTTTAAGTCATAGAATTTTATATAGAATATCAAAACATGTATACTTGAAACTGAGTACAATAATTATTTTCTGCACAATCAATATACCTACTATATGTGTATATGTTCAATATAACTGGAGACAATAACTTTGCAGAAACATAAACAACACAGTTCAAAACATGTACTCAAAAACAACAATTAACATCATAAGCACAAATTAATGACTGTAAAAAAAAAATACCAGGATATGCAAAATTAGAATGAAATAGAAAGGAAAAAATCGAGTCCACTGAATGCACAGTCTCTCCTTAAGATAATTATTCCCCTCTAATACCTGGGGTTTAATGAATTAGATCCTCTTAGAATGGAACGATTTTATTCACCAATGTATTGATACAAAAACAATGGTCCCAGTAAGCCACTCAACATGAGCAAAGTGCATGAATATTTAATTGTGTAGAAGAAGAAGAAGTAGTTCAAAATTTTTATTGTTTTAAAATGAGAGGAAATCCCTCTATTTATAGGCAACAAAGGTAGTGTGAACAAATATGCTTATTGTGCCTTATCGGAAATATCACAACTCTTTGGAAATGTCACAACCCTTCGGAAAGGTCACAACCTTCCATAAATGTCGCAACTTTTCTTAAAAGTCACAACTCTTCGTAAAAGTCGCAACTTTTCTTAAAAGTCACAACCCTTCGTAAAAGTCGCAATTTTTTTTTATAAAAGTCACAACTCTTCATAAAAGTCACAACTTTTCGGTGAAGGCTAGTTTTAGAAATAAATAAATTAAAAGGAAATTCTGATTTGTGGTGGCGGCGCCACGTAGCGGGCTTACGGTTCTCTTTTATATATGATATATGATTAGCAAACTAGTCAAAATTTCTAACATAATCATCTTATATCCTAATATAATTTATTTACCTTCCTTTTATTATCGTTCTTTAGGCATCTCCAATTCTATACTCTATTTTACTCTCCAAATATAGATCAATTATAGAGTTTTGTATTTTTGTCAACAATTAATTCTAACCCAATTCTCTATTTTACTCCCTAGAAAAGAATTTTTTTCTTAATATTATATTATTATTTCTATTTCATTCTTATTTTTTTATTTTCATAATATAAATCCTTTATTTCTTTTTCCAAATAATCACTATATATAATTTTCATGTAATATATAATTTTATTTTTTTGAAATTTTTTATTTAATATAAAAGTTTATTTTATTTTAAATTTGTAAATAACATAAATTGCAAGAAAACATCATATAAAGTATACATCAGTGGACAAATATAAATAAAATACAATTACATAAACACTTAACTTTTAAAATTATTACACTGCTCTATAAAGAAATAATTAATCCACACACACAAAATTTCTACAATTAAGGGAGGAGTTACTAAGGAAACCAAATAACAACAATTTAGGAACAATTTATTCATGAAATCATATTAGCTTCAACCCTTGTAATCTCAAACCTCTCGGCTCTCTCCATATTCTTCTTCAAAAAAATAAAATAAATTATAATCATCTTCATTCCGGTGTTATAGATTTCAATAATACGGAAAGTGACAATATTATAATTTAAATTAGTTCTTTAAACAATCTGACAAAAAAAAAAAGTGCAAGAATGTTGTCTCTCCTCCGTCAGACGATTCTGACTTAGATTTGTACCAAAAACACATCACAAAATAGGTAATTTTTATTTGAAGGGTGATACTTCACAAGTAAAAAAGCCAAACGTGGGTGTGAAGAACGATTTGAAGAATTCCAAGTTTAGAAAAGGAAAAGTTGTTCCAAATATATTAATAGTTCAATTTTCTTCATATTTTGATGATTTTGATTTTTTAGAACTTGTATGTTGTTTTTTTATAATATTATTATGTGATATATATTCTGCATGTAATTATTATTATACGAATTATGATTGAACTTGAAATATGTTCATTTGTTTGTAAAATAGGTATAAAAATGACATATTTTATTGATAGATGTGAATATGAGGTAGGTATTAAAAATGCATTATTATTATCTTATTTTAATAAAGCTGATTGTATACATCACTGTGAATTATTGTTGGTAGATGTAAGTATAAAGTAGGTGTAAAAAGTACATTGTTATTACTTATGATTTTAGTGAACGGTGTGAAATTTACATTAATATAGGTTCCTAACCTTTTCTCAAACGATATAAAATAGCTCCTCAGCTTAATTCATCACTTATTACCCGTTTATATATCAAATTTATATACTTTGTGTATTTTAATAATGATTTAAAAACCCGTTTTAATACCACTTATATACTCTATGTATAGAATCTATACTTTGTAGAACAATTTTCATTTACATCACATATAAGTTATAATTTGTGAATTATACTATTAGATTCAATAGGTATTAAAATAGGTAAAAAATTTATGTTTGTATGATGTTTGGAATCTATACTAAAAAAAGATTTCTAACCCCTCCTCCAAGTGTATAAGATCAGATCTAAATTGATTGAGTTTGTTTCATCATTTGTTATCAATTTATATATCAAATTTATACATTTAATGATTTCATGAATAAGTTAGTTAAGTAATTTTCATTAACATTACATACAAACTTATTTTAGTACCAATTATATACTCTACTTTGTAAAGCAGTTTCCATTAATATTACATACAAGCAGTTTTCATTCCTATTATATCAATTATATACAATATTGTCATTAACATTACCTTGTTTTAATTTTCTGTATATTTACTTTGTATAATAATTATTTTTATTATTTCAGAAAAAAAAAACAAGAAAAAAAATCAATTTAGATACTATAAATAAAACAAACGGACACTTTCTGATCTACCACAAAAGAAAATATTTTTAAAATGTGAACAAAAAAGATGGAAGAAGAGTAAAATTTTCTGATTAATAGGTGAAAAACAAACTAATTGAGAGAAATTTATGGAATGCAATACTCCATCAATTATACACTCCTAAATTTATGGAAAGTATATATTCTCTTCAATTTATTATTTATACGTTTTTTTAATAAAGTCAAATATGTTAGATATTGTTGGTATTCTAATGTTAGAACTTGAAAACTTGAGAATCCCGTTAAGATTAGTAATCACAACATTTAAACATGTCATTTATTTAATTTTCTCATATCTACTAATGCAAGATGAGCATTTTTGTACTTTTGATCAGAATTGAAAGTCAGCCAATTCAGGATTGACCAAGTAATTACAAACAAGCTAAAACATAAATACACTCACATCCAAATATGTGGCTTTCTAAACACCAGTTTCAAATATAATTCAACAAAATAATTTGGAGGACAAACAAGGCCAATATAGACGGCTTTAATCTTCACAGAAGGGATTGATAACAAATGCACACTTAGAATCTTCTGGAAAACCTAACAAATTCTCTATAATTTTTGAGATCCTAGCTGAACAGGTGTTGCATCTTCTCCAGTGAGATAGGTTTATAACCAGTTTCACCATATTTATTGCATGCTCAAGCAAAGACTTCAATAATTGAGCGAGCCCTGTTGTGTCATCTTTGAAGATATCATCACCACAAAACGCTAAAATAACCTTTGAATTCTTTAGTTTCTCTAAGGAACCTTTGATTAAGTCTCCTTGAAAGGAGTCAATGTCATCACCCAAGAAGTTGATATCATTGTGGATAATCCTAACAGCTAGAAAATCCTTAAGCAAATAATGTGATTTCAAAATGCAATGATATAGTACTAAAATTGAGAAACACCATATAAGCAACATGGTAGGCGACAATAAACAAGCAAATGAAAATGCACAGCAGAACTAAAATTTGGTAGACTAACATTTTTATGAGAACACGTAACATAAAGGAGATAAATTGCTGATAAATATTAGAGAAAGTACTACAATGTTACAACTGAAATTATAGGAATGGACGCGTGATGGAGTCTTGAGTGCAGCCCCACTTTGTTGACATATCTTTGGCGAAAGAACAAAAAGAAATTCAACTTTAACCCCCTCATTCACAGTAAATACGATAAAGTATAAACAAGTTCAGTATCAAAGGGGGTTGTACCGACGATGGCCTGAAATCCAAGGCTATACTTTGCCTCAAAAGGAGATGAGTATCGGTGGTCATCAAATATTGTAATAATATAAGACAATTACATGAAGGATGGAATACATACCATGAGGAATAATAACCTCTAACTAAATGGAGCAAACATGAGGAAAATATTAAAGAGTGGAAGAAACCAAAATATTTCAAAGCAAGAAATCAATTGAAAACATACCTGTTCAGGTAGTAATGTCAAATTCTCCAGATACGGAGTTGAGTTTAACAGGTTGCCTATACCGAGGAAGGAACATTTTGTAATAAACGAATTTATTGTCAACCGTTTGCACTCCAGCAACGGCAACGGCAAGTCTGCATTTTCCAACATCAACTTGGAAATCACCTAAACAAAAGCGAGAAGCAGAGTATCACATAAGCACACAGAATATCACAAAATAAAATTATGGGGCTTGAAAAAAACAAAAAATTATGGATTTAACTTCTGCCCTTTTACAATCCCCCCCTACACACACACACAAAGAATTCAAGATTATGGTCTTTCAACATTTAGCATAATTCAGCTACATCTTTTAGCTCATTAAGGTTTGATACTTGCAACTGATAAACATTTCTAACACAAGGAATCACAATTAGATACACATTGCTGAATCTAGAGAAGTGGCAATAAACAAACATTACCCTTCACCAGTTGGTTAAAAAATTTATTGACCACAACTAGTGAAGACAATATTATTTATTAAAATGTCACATTAAATTCAATTGAGAAAGCCTCATTAATATAGAACAGTGTCATGCAAACATAAAACATCGAAGGGGCAAAAGAAATGGCTACAGCGTTTGACTTGCAATAATGCAAAGACTCCCTCAAGAACTGAAGACCGTTTTTCTTTGGGTTAGAACCTTATCTTGCTCTACATGGCTATTGGTATAGGTTTCACAAAATCTTTTAGTAGGTCTCTCTGTTTTGGAACATGCTATTGGTTGGAGGTTCATTCAATTTTTTGAACAATAATGCTAGATTTTATAGAATTTTAATACAAAATGACTAATGTTACAAATTAGTGCTGAAAAGAATTGCAAGTGGTTATATCTGTTCTATATCTCTTCCTTATCTTTTGGTATCTCATTGTCTCTTTCCATTTTTCCTTAAATCATTCTAACCTTCGGTGCGCTATTCGTTAATTAATCTTGTAAGGAACTTCTATTTGAGAATGTTATTGATTATTAAGTCTTGATGCACTTGAAGCCACCAAATTAAGGCTGTTCTAACTAAAGCAGCCCATTCACTTCAGTCCATTACAAAATGGATAGATCTCTGCAATATGGTAGAAAGGCTAAGACCTGTAAAAAGATAGAAACAAGTATGTTGGAATAAAGCTCCTCAGGGCACTATCAAAGTAAACACTGATGGGAGCTTCTCACAACATTAGGGCAAAACTGGCATAGAAGGAATTGTTAGAGATAGTCAAGGTGATTTTATCATGGCTTTCTCTTTCTCAACCCAATATAGCAGTAGCAACATGGCTGAAGCTATTGCGGCAGAGGTTGGAGTGAAATGGTGGTCTTAATGGGCATCCTAATTTCACTTTAGAACTTGACTCATGTTTGTGGCCAACACGGTGACAAAGGAGGACAGTTCCAATCTGAAGTTTAAGCAGATCGTGGACAACATCATTAATTACAAGAGGAGAGCTGGAATCAAAATCAATCATTGCTACAGAGAGGGAAACCAGACAGCAGATTTGTTTTCCAAACTTGTCTCAAGCAATGATCAGAACCTGTTGATCCATTCCCTCCATCAGCTTCCAGGGAAGGTTAAGGGTCTGCTACAACTTGACAAGTGCCAAATGCCTATTAGGACAAAGCTTGACAAAGCTATTTTTTTTTGTAAGCTGTGTTTTTGTGTACATAGTTAACACCAGAGGGTTGTAAAATTATTAGGCCTTCTGGACTGATGGATGATATATCACCACGTAGCTACAAAGATGTGTTGTATTGAGGCCCTTTTTTGCTTATGCAACACCACTCAGACATTGCCTTGGTAATTGAATAAACAAAAACAAAAACAAATTAAACTAATAGAAGGAGCCAGTATTTAACCTCTCATACTTGACCAAAACCATATGAGTTAAACAGGAACAAGAATCAAAGACAAATATATCAAGTTAGCGACCTATAACTGACAGACCTAACACCCCCACCCCAGAATGCAATTAAAAAGCCTCTCACTAGACATGCAAATGATGAACTATGGTCATTAATATTGATATAGACTATAAACGAGAGTAACTATATTCATGTTCAACTTGAAAAGATTAGAGATATTTGAGACTGAAAACTAACCTCGATAAACCAGGAAGGGACCGTTAGTTCACTAGCACAACGTACGTCTGCTAAAATATCTTTGATGTCAATTAGATCATTTGTAACACCCCAAGTGTGATTATGGAAATTAAGATCTGCATGGACCAAAGAAGAAATGTCGCGGAGTCTAAATTTCACACCATGGAAAGCCCCAGATATCTCTAAATGCTGAACAAATGGAGCAATAATATCGAAGAAGCAATGATTGTCAAGTGGATCCGAATCATTCAAAGGATGCCTATGATCAATCAATAGCAATCTCATGCATTTTGGAGAAGTTATATGCAAATGATGAAGACCACAAAATTCACTTAGCTCCAGCGATTCCAGCTGAGGACAACCTGATGATATTTGTTTAATGTTTTCATCCCAGAGAAGCAAATTAGTGAGAGTTAAGCTCTTGAGGGATGGCCAGTTGAGTACACAATTTTCGGATAATTTACAATACTTGCAATTTAATCCTACAAGGGATGAGTTACTGCAGAGAACTTGGGGCAACGTATAAGGTTGCTCATTAGAAACCCAAACTTTCAAACAAAGATCCTTCACATTTTTGTTCACAGCAATTTCAAGCCATTTATCAATTTTGGAAATAGTAGACACATCATCATGGTTAAGTACAAACTCAAGACTGAACTCTTTAATGTTAGAGCATCTATGGAGACGCATTACATTGTCAGTGAAGGAAATGAACCTGTTGGCTTTCGAGCTACTGTTGAGTTTCGAGGTTTTAAACCATCCCTGCTGTCAAAATTCAGATTGTTGATGTAAGTCCATAGGTACTGCCAACCCTTAGAGAGAATAGATGTTTTGCATGCATCTGTTTGTTGGGAAAGACAAGGCACTACCAAAAATGTCAGATAGGATAGCAGCGTAATAATACCCAAATCTAAACTTTCCCTTTCAATTTGAACCAAGAGAAGACAAACCAATCAAGCAATATGAAGAATGGACAGCAAGTATATCAACCAAACTAAAGCAACAAGATAAGAATAAACCAATCATGCAAGACACAACAATTTACGTGAAAAACCCTTCGATGTGAAGAGTAAAAAACCACAGGACCAAAAGCTCCACTATAAACACCAAGAGTTACAAAATTATTCTCCAAAATTGGCCACAAAACAAGCGCCAAACAACGAGCAACAACAAATCAAGATTGCACCAAATCTAGAGAATTAAAGAAGAGATTTCACCCAAAAAGACGCTACTGTTCACGCCCTCAAATCAGAAGCTACAGACCTTCAAATCCGATCTCCACCGTTGAATTGCAAGAACCAAATGCTGAGAACTCCCAGTTCAAATTTGAGCACGATCCAACGGTTAACGAAGCGGCAAACTCTGTCTGAAGCGGACTGCCTGAGTAGAAAATTTCCAGAAGCAAAAACGGGATTTTCTCTATTTCTCTCAATCTCTAAAACGAATCTCTCTTGATTTTTCTCTCTTATGTTTCTGAAAATAAGACCAAATAAGCCTTATATATGCCACATAATATTTGGGTTATGGGCTAAAGTGAGCTGGTCCTAATAAGACTTTTATTCATCCACATACAAAGGGAAAAAAAGATCTTAAACCGAACACTGTTAAGGTCAGTAGAGAGAATTTGAACGATAACAGAGTCAGGCAGCAGACTAATCCAATCAATACCGCCGGTTTCACTCCGAATCCTCTTTGTTTTCGAGTTTCCACAACTGCCAGCGGATTGCTTTTCCTCTTCTTCGCCCATCCTTTTCTCTGTTCGGACACAAAATCGGTGAAATCACATAGCAGAAGAAGATAGATTTACTGTGGAGTAGCAAATTAGGGCCAAGAAGGGGGTAGTGAGTGATCCGTCGATATTCGAAATTGAGCAAATACATACTTTTTTTTTAGAAAATTTATGGAGGTAAGTTATACAATAAATTCACAGAAAATTTTCGATCCTCCATCGCGTTACCCCGTATTAGAGAGAATTGATTGATCGAAGTATTAACTTGGAATTCGAACTCGCAACTATGTCTAGGGAACTTGTGACCCAAACCAACCAAGCTACATACAATTTGGGTCACTTAAAAGAACTTATATTTTGCTTCTTAATTAATTATATAAACCTATTTAGTAAATTCCGACGAAATAGTATCACAGCCTTGGGCCTTCCTAAATCCACACCTGGACTCAATCATCTTCTATCCAAACTTATGTTTTGGGATACATACACAAGAAGGGTGTTGACTATATATCTTATTTAGCAGCCCAATTTCAAGGATCTGTAATGATCATTAGGCTAGTAATAAGGAGATAATTAGGATTCTTTTCTTTGTATAAATATTTCGTATATATATATATAGTACAATTATATTATCAAAACTATATATACAATGAAATACATAAAATTATAAGTAGAAAAGCTTGGTCCACGTGCAGAAAAGATGAATAGGAGTCATGTCCATTCAGGCCAAGATGAGAAAACTATTTTAATCAGCTTGCTACACCTACACTTGAGCATTTCAACATAAATAAGCTTGTCCTTGGAGCTGCATAAATACACCATTAACAAAAATAATTAGTCGATTTAGTAAACTATTATTTTAAAGCTAATTTAACAACTTTAATCTTATGTAACTCTTCATCAACCTAAGCCTCTTGCAAGATTGAACAAACATTCTAGCAAAAGAAAAGGGATCATAAGAACAAACATGACTGGATATATAAGGCATAGAAACACACATACACTATGGTGAAATTATATATATACAACACACCTAAAATATGCGATGGTCTTATCACTCTCCTAAATTTGTTTCCTCCGTATTATTTACTCTATTTCACTTTCGTAAAAAAATACAAGTTAAAATATACCACGTGCATATACAACGCCTATATACTAGCAAAAAGGGATTTTTGTTAATATCATATTTAATTTGATTATTTCAGACTCAAATCAATCGAACCTTGTCATCTCTCAGGTCTCAAACACAACAAAGTTCAAAGTCCCTAACTATGATTTATACATTATATATTTTGTTTCAAAATTTGTTGTAATCCCACGACCTAACAACATATTATCTTGTTCATAAATATAATTAGAAAAAAAAAATCTCTCTTCCTATTTTTCCCCCCTACCCAATATTTATTGTCCAGTTACTTTTCAATTAATAACTTTAAGTCCCAATGGTTTGATCATGTAGAATTTGATCCATTTTCTAATTGAACGAAAAGTATTCTACTGAACATCTCCAAGTAGCATCCAGTCCCCATCATTTAATCTCTTAACCTCACACACAAGGTAGGATAAGACATGTGTACATGCATGTTATTTATTGTTGTTGTTATTGAGGTCACCTCACGACAGTGAGGCTCGTTCCTAGAGTTATAATGAGTGATAGTGAGACTCAATGTAACTATTTCTATTTGCTCTAATATATGCCATGTTAATATTTATGATCATCTCATCTAAGTTTTATGAATATTACACGTAGCTAGGTTAAATTACTTGTTCCAATTTGGTTGCAGTAGTGGAGATTTCATTCTGGTGAGGATTCCTCATGTGAGCTAAGTACTCATGAGGCTGCTGGAGGAGGTGTCAGTTTCCACCATATTTTTATTTTTTTTAATCTTTTCTCAATTTGTCCCCAAAAAATATAAAATTGACTCCTCTATTTGAAAAAAAAATGGGCAAAGGTAGGTGTTGGATACGATATTATAAGAGCTTTTGGATTAATGTGGAAGGACACGTTTAGACAAATGGGTGGTTTCTTTTGTTTCATGTCATTAATTAGAGGAGTTAATCACGGAAAAAGTGAGCATAGGGTCCATATATATATCACATACGATAACAATAATATATCCAGTAAAATATCTAGAAATTAGAAGAATACAATATAGATAGACTTAGCTTTCTTAATTCTCTCTTCTTCTTTTTTATAACTCGTTTGGAATTTTTTTTATAACTTGTTGGCAGTTATTTCTTATTTTCAAAATAAATAAGTAATATATATATATATATATATATGCGCACGCGCCTATTTATAAAAAAAAAAAAAAAAAAACAAGTTTTGTCACTTAAAAAGTATTTTTCTTTTGTATGCCGAGTATATATTATTGTACGTGAACATATGGTAACAAACAAACAAAATACATATAACGATTGTTATTTTTTGGAGATTTTGTATATGAAATATTGGCTCCATCTTACTAATGGAAGGAAAGGACGAGGAAATGGAGATTTTGAATGGGTCAAAAGTTTCTCATTAATTTCCACACGTCTAAACACGAAGAAAAATCATTTTAAGACCTTCACTTTTACCGTTTCCGCTATACTAGATCTAACCAACTGCTCATCCTAAATTCTCTGGGTAATCTTTTGTCAATGGCAATTCACTCATAAGTCATAAGTAAGTTCACTCTGTTTTATTCATTTATTTTGATAACCGAGAAGTCCCCGAGCACCAGCAGCACACAACTTGAAACTCAGTGGATAATGGTTCTGTCCTTCTACCCTTTTCCACTTTAATACAAGATTTTGTTTGCGGGGTTCAAACCTAAAAAGGGAGCCTAATCCACACATCACAATTCACAAGTGCACTCCTGCCATTATACCAAGGCATGGGCCCAAACATGAAATATTTAGCCACAACTCAAGAAGTTAGAGGAAATATAAAAATTTCAAACCAAGAAACATTATGACTTCTTCGCAGATAAAGAGTTGACACTGTACTCAGATCACTTGAATGTAACTACCAAGTGTTTGTCGGGAGGGTTCGAACCTATGAAGTGTGCCTAACCAACACATCACAAGCAGGCTCTTACTGATAGACCAGAGCCCTAGGACGATAAAACATGATATGTTTACATTCACAACTCCAAAAGTAGAGGGGAAGTATAAATATCTCAAACCTGGAAACATTATGAAACCTTCCTCAAGATAAGAGTTGATACTAATACTTCCAAACATAGATGCTAATGAAACGAATACCCACAAAGCAGAGAAAAAAATCAAATCCCTAAACTGGAAACAAATGAAACAAGAGAAGAAGTAAGCTTAGGAGTCATTTGGTTCGCGGGCAAAGTTATCTCAGGATTATATTCCTGCAATTATAATCTTGGGACTAATTTATCCCGCCTAAGAGGTTGAATAAAATAATATTAAGTTAGATGGGATAAGGTGGGATATCCAAGATTAAGGTTGGGATCAAATTTATACTCTATGTTGGGTTGAAGATATAAATTTATTACTTCAACCAAACAGAGTACAATTTTAATGTTGAACTTAATCCTGAGATATCTCACCTTATCTCATCCAACTTAATATTATTTTATTTCATCCCCGGGTGGGATAAATTAGTCACAGTACTATAATAGTAGGATTATAATCCCCAGATAACTTTGTCCGTGAACCAAACGACCCCTTTATATATATATATATATATATATATATATATGGGATAAAAAAATTATATAACCAAGTTAGTTTTATACGTTTACTTGTTATAACAGATAATTTGTCTAAGTTTTAAGATTACAACTCTAACATTTTAAAAAGATCATTTACATAAAAATATTTATAAATTAATTGATAAATATAACTCAACTCTTAAAAAAACTGGTTACTATTTACTCCACTAGCGCAACAAATATTTTGCCTGATCGATAAATTTTATTTATATTAAATTTAAATAAGTGTTTACTATATTGACTATAAGTAGTGTCTTTTTGCCTTGAAGTGCAAGTATAGCTACTTTGATAATGAAATGGGTTATGAAAGAAGACCGTGAGATCATGATCACTCTTTTTTGCTAAAGTTTAAGCTATCATCTAGGTTGTGAGCTCAAGATGTGAGAGTTAGGCTCGACTCTTATATCAAGTTGGAGATTGTTTAAGCTATCATCTATGTTGTGAGCTCAAGTTTGCATCGAATGATATGGTTATTATTAAGACATAACCCAAAATTACATATTTCTTTTATAGAAACCGTCACAATTTATGTAATACATGAAGGAAAAATCTTTTTATATTACAAAATCTCTCATGTTTGAATTTTAATTTTATAAAATTATTTTCGAGTCAAAAAGTCATAATATTTCACACGATTATATGCGTCCTCAATTGAAATTAAATGATATAACTGATATAAATAATTGGCTACAACTTAGCTATATGTATCTACTAGTGATTGAGTGAAGCAAAGCATGGCACTCGTGTGTGGAAAAAGATGTTGGGACCAATATGTCTTGGGCACTTTAAGGAACAGGTCAACCTTAGAAGATTCCATGTGCTAAACCAACTCATGAATTTAAGAAGAAGAAAAAAAAGTAATGTCTGAGTCATGTGAACCTGTTGCTTTGTCGGATTTTGACTTATTTCTACTCCTTTATCACGCTTCCAACCGACACGTTCACACTCTCATGTACCTCTCCTTATATATGTCTACATTTAAAAAAAAAAATCGACGTAAAGGGTCCTGGTAGAGTGAATAAATATTCTTCTATCCTTGATTAGAGATATCGGATTTGAATCTCCTTAGATTACATAATCGCTTTTGTTAGAGAGTGTTTTATCCCTAATTAAGACTTTCCAATGTCAATTCAGATACAGAGGAAGGGAGTATTATAGGTGGAGCTTTTTTCACTATTTTAATATATATATAGATATATATATATATATATATATATATAT